ACGCCATCATGCTCCTTGTCATGCATAGCCGGGGCTCTGGCGTCGAGATCTTTACACGCATCGAGGCGATACCGAGGTACACGGATTCTATGGCGGGGTTCATCACCATGAAGAAGTTTAAGTTCCCGCCGTCACCAACGACAACGACAACAGCGACGACTGGACCAAACTCGGGACTAAACTCGGCAGTCTTCAACGCAGTCGAAGCACACGGCGCGCTCGTCCGACTCCACGCAAACTCCCTCAGCCAAAAGGACGGCGCCCTCTGGATGCTCTTCGGCGTGCTCGTCAATAAGGCAGGGCAGTCGTGGTGGATATTCCGGTACCTGGACGGGCTCGCCTCCACCTCCGGCTCGTCTGCCTCGTCATCGTCGTCCTCTTCCTCTTCGATGACCGAAGCCAACCTGGAGAGGCTGCTGCGGGATGCGGCAACGAATTGGCAGCCTTCGTACCGGGCTAAAGCGTACGTCTCCCCGCAGGCGGTGGAGAGTAGACGCGTGACAAAGAGGGATGCGATCACGATTACGTTTGGGCCCGAGTTCCGTGCCGAGGTGAATGATCGAAAGACGATTGCTAAGGCTGCGCATCTTATTGTTTCGGGGGTCACTGCGGGACTGAAGACGTCGGAGACAATCTGAGATGCTGAAATGATGAAAGATGGAATGATGAAGATAAAAGTATTTGGCTTGGTTGTTTGGGTCTTCGAGCGGGCGAAGGTGGCTTACACCCTCAACACTGAGAAATCAGATGTCATAGATCACAGACTCTTGATAGCGTGTAGAATATGTGCAATTGAAGAGAATAAATATGTACCGGTGGCGGGTGAGAGATCCTGCGAGCGATCTTCATGCGCCAAACACCTGATGGGCCCAGATATACCAATGTTAACACCACGATTCCCACACCCCTCTGGATGCTGCCTTTGCACTTGAAAGTGGCAACTATCTACAACTCAATATCAAGCACTGGTGGTGTTGTAGCCGATGCCCAGTCCAACGGGACAGTTCGGCACATTCGCCTGCCACGCCTCATTGCTCTTTGCGAACGCGGGCAGATACGAGTTGGTCGTGAAAGTCTATGAGACAAGTCAGCTCATCACATCCAGGTAAACGACAGTCCCCCATCCTCCCGGACATTGACTTACGCTAGGAAGATAGTAAGAGACGTCAGCAGACGTATAGTTGCCCCCAAGAGAGCGCAGAACCGAGACGACGGAACCCGCAACATAGTCCAAAAAGATGAGATCAATCTTGTCGTCGTCGGCAAGCTCACCGCTGGTGGGGAAACTGCCGTTGGCCTGGAAGAAGTCAGGGTAATCATACGTCGGGATCTCGCTGTGCACGGTATCGTCTCCGTCGGTGCCAAAGTCGTCGGTGGTCGTGTACCCCGGTGTGACGGCTTGGCGTCTAACGATGCGCCCGCCGGCGTAGGACCTCTTGGAGAAGTGGTCGTTCGTCACGTGCGGGTCGATGCAGCTGTCCACGGCCGAGAGGGCCGGGTTAACCTGTCCGAAGCCAAACGAGTCTGACGAGAGAGAACGTCTGCGCTTGGAGGGGAACCCGCCGGATTCGAGACCCGCGAGGACCTGGCGCGCGAGAGACCAGTCGACATCGGGGATGTACTGGAAGCCGTCGGTGAAGGGGGAGACGATGAAGGAGGAGTCGTAGTCGAAGGGGCCCTCGGCGAGGTCGAAGCGAATATGGCCCGTGTTGGCGAGGATGATGCGCGGCGTGGCCTTGCGGGCCTCGGTGACGATTGTGGCGGAGAGGGCGGTCGTCAGCAGGGAGAAGATGGAGCCGGCGGACATGTAGGGGGCGCAGGCGATGCACCACGTCTGGGGCGCGCAGCCGTAGAGGGAGGTGAGGTTGAGCTTCTTTCGGGTTGCTGTGATGTTTGCGGAAACGGCGAGGCCCTTTGTGGTGTTGAAGGCTTTGTGCTGGCTGCCGACTGCGTGGTATTCGAAGGTGAGAGTGTTCCTAGGAGATGTAGTCAGTAACAGACTGCGGACTCGTGACGGTGTGTGTGTAGTAGTCTTCTTACCAGTCCAGGTAGCGGCGAGAGTACGTGATGCTAGAGTTTCCGGAAGTAGCCGTCTGTCCAGCAGTCACGTTGACGGCCTTTTGAGACGGGTGAGGCACGCCCTTGGGATACACGGCGCCCTTGTAGCTATCCGACTTGACGCCACTCAGCGACAGCCAGCCGACGGTCTCGCAGTACCGGCCGGACTCGAGGGCGGTGGACTTTTCGTCGTAGACGGCAAAGTCGCGGATGTGGGTGTGGCCGCCAAAGAACTGGACGGGGGTGTCGGGCTTGACGGCGCGGATGGCGTCGAAGACGGTCTTGAGGGTGCTGCTGCTCTGGCTTGGGCGGACGGGGTTGTGGCCGATGACGAGGAAGAGGTCGATGGGTTCCGTGTAGTCGACTGCGTCGAGGAACCATTGCTGCTTGACCATTGTGGCGGCCTTTGTGACGACGGAGGCGTTGGAGTTGCCGGTGAAGTCAAAGAGGACGCCGAAAGCCATGATTCTGAGGCCTATGTAGGAGTTGTGTCAGATATCGAGAAGACCAAGGCAGAGAGGTCACATACCCTTGGGGGTGGTGAAGTATCTGTACTGCTTGCCAATGGTCTCGAGCGCACCCGTGCTGGGATTGCGGATCTGAACGTTGCTCGTCAAGTACCTATCACCGTATACCTTGGCAAACTGGCTAAAGGTCTCGTACGCAATGGCGGAAACGTAGAGCTCGTGGTTGCCAATGGCCAAGACGTCGTAGTCAATGTTCTCAAAGATTGGGTTCGACAGCTGGCCGTTGACGCCGGTGCCATTGGCGTAAGACGAAACGCCAGTGGCATCGCTGATTCCTGCACCGTCGTGCAAGTCCTAGATGTGCGTTAGTAAAACTAGTGTTGAAGATGGCTCGTGAGCAAAAACTTACTCCGGTGTCAACCACCAGCAAGTCAACATCCAGGTCCTTGGCTTTCTTGCGCATGTGCTTGACGAAGCTCACAAAGTCACCCCAATCAGCACCGTAGTTTTGCTCGCGAATGTGTCCTTCGAGCCTGTAGACATTGTCAGCATGAGCCATGCGAGACACTCGTTAGGGAAGGGGGTTAGAGATCGTACCATCCGTGAGTATCTGTGCCGAGGCTGTTAGTATACACGAAGTTGCACACTAATTTTGTTTAGAGACCAAGTTTGGCTTACCAGTGGTGTGAAGAAAGTTCAATTGACCCCACGAGAGCGGACCACGAGGCGCGACGGCGGCCGCTTGCGCATCGGGCTGCGCGCGACGAACATTTCTGGTCAAGACGACGTCTCTCTCGGGATGCTCGCAGCTCTCGCAGGCGAGGGCCGGGACGGCGCCGAACGCAAGGGCGAGGGAGGCCCAGACGCTGTTTTCGAAACGCATTGCGACGTGAATAGGGTCCCAATGGAACAAAAGAACGAACGGTCCAACGTCTGGAAAACCTTATTCGCAATTCTGTCTGGCGAGCTCAAGCAACGATTGACGAGATCCTCTGAGCAGGTCAGCAAGGCCCAGGATACAAGGCGTGGGAACGGCATGCAACCAAGCTCTTAAGAGATGCGCTTCCCGCTCAAACAAGCTTTTTCTCTGCAGGAGCCAAGAGCAGGACCTGGAGACGGCGTGGTATTCCGGGCAGCTGCAGCTCTACCGCGCTGACGCGGCAAATGATAACCCATCGTTCTCCCACCCCTCATTCAATATCTCCATCGGGGGCGACCGAAATCGCAATTCGCAAAGCTGCTATCTCGCTATCATCCAAAGCAACAACACATCCTGGGCACGTGTGATAAAGCAGCTGCCCGGGATCGCTGGGGACCGAGCTTCCTCTTGTTATCTAGCGCGGCCGATGTCCGCGCTCCAATGGACATGGCGGGCCCGCATGGGATCTCGTTTAACGTGCCGTCATTGCCGGGTTTCCCGAATGGCGATCGCTGGTGATCCACGGGGTGCTTTGATTGGTTTGCATGTTGGCTGGATGTTTACTAGTCATGTCAGCGGAGGACCTGGAGATTAATTGCAGTAAACGTCACTCGAGAATTGGTGGTTGACTAATCCTCAAATTGCTCGAGTTTAAGAGAGTATTGTTCGTCTTTGCTGTGTAACCAATCCCATCACTAGATACTGCATAATTACAATTCGTTCCAACAATTCAACTCAAAATGACCAATCTTTTACATTTAGACTCGATTACCATCTACTTTAAGAAACACTCATACCTTTCTCTGTTCAAAGGGTCTTCCTTTATTGATCTGCGAACCCGGTGGTCATATGCGCGATCAGCCGGTGACAAGCCAGAGTCACAATTAGTCATTGAGGCCGGCCTGTGAAGATTCGAGTATGAATCTCAATAACGGACCAAGCCTGTAGTCAGGGCGTAATCAATTCTAGCTCTCAACAGCACTGTGATGGCTACACCACGATAAATTGACCTGGGGAGCGATAAATTTTGAATGAGACATAACATGCTGACCAGTCGTAGAGGTGGATCCCAGGGTTCTAAAGTCATTTTTTTCGTAATGAGTTTCTCACCATACTGACTCACGTGCTTAGGAAATGGATAATGGGAGGCTGCTTCGGACTGAATTTCAATGAGGGTTCATATGCTCCCATTCCACCAGTGCTTTATTTCATCATGGAACTCCAGTACCCCAACAAGGGGTAAGTGTCTAATTGGAGCTTCAATTATACCTCGAGGCGGGCAGCCGCGCAGAGACTACTTGCGGCTCCTACTCCTAATTATCGCTACCTACCCAACCTACAATTAGAACCTTCGTTTTACACCCTATGCAGAATACATTAGTACGGTCAAATCACCCTCTTCGTCACCCATTAGTTCGAATCAAACTACTCTGCGAAAGGAATGCCAACAAAAGAGCTTAGAATTCTTAAGGATCAATCCAATTTGAGTAGATACATTGCATTTAACGACCTGCAACTTGCGGGATTCACCCATATGATTCTGGCTGTGCCATCATCTAGGAATCACTTGAAAGGCGTTGAAACAACATCCCGCCAATCTCGTTCGTGTTCTTCGGCGCGGCGTAGTCTTTCTCATCAACCACCGCCTCCCAATTATCTCTGACCCTTTCAACAGTCCACTCCTCGTTGCTCGACCCCTTGAAGCCCTTTGTGTCGCCCAAGAAGATTCGATTGACGATCCTCCCCTGAGCACCAAGGACTTCCCCATTCACCTTGCAATCCTCGCTGGTGAGCCATACGACGGCACGCGCTGGCTCAGAAGCAGGTAGGTTGGCCTTCATGAATCCCCTCATCTGCTCGGGGGCGTTGGCAGCAGTGGTATCCGTGTAAGCAGTCGTAGCCACCGAGTTGACGTGGATGCCATGCGCTTCTCCCTCGACAGCAAGCGTCTTGGCCATACCGATAAGAGCCGCCTTCGCAGCCGCGTAGTTGGAGATACCGGGCATGCCAAAAATCGTGTGAGAGGTAATCATGACGACGCGACCATACTTCTGCTTCTGCATGTGTGGCCAGGCAGCCCGAGTAAGGTTGTAAGAGCCCTCCACGTGGATTGAGAGCATCTCCCGTAGGTCGGCGACGGTGGTCTTGTCAAAAGCCTTGTCCTGATATGTACCGGCATTGTTAACAACGATGTCGATGCGGCCAAATGTGTCGATGGCAGTCTTGACTAGAGACTCGGCGACAGACGGTTCAGTGACGGAACCGACGCAAGCGATAGCTTTGCCACCCGCCTCGACAATGGCATCAACGGTGGACTTGGCTGTTGCTGGAGTGGTGCTGTTCACGATGACAGAAGCTCCTAGACTGCCGAGGAGGATGGCTTGTTGACGGCCGAGTCCGCGGCCGGAGCCGGTGACGATGGCGACGCGGTTGTTGAACTGAATAGGCTTGGAAGAAGACATCTTTGAAGTGTTTGATAGAATTTTGGGGGATACGAAGTTGTTGTTGGACTTGGTATTGCAAGAATATGAGCTTGTGTTCGAGGGTGGTTGATTGAATGTTGTTGATTGTTGGTGATGAGATCGAGGCTGGAAACTTGGTATTACACTGGGATACTTATAATTATCTTCTTGAAACTGAAGAGTGAGAGACCTATTGTATTCTCGTGATGTGTCTGTGACTACGCGCCGCTAATACTGAGGCTATTCCGTTCCGCTCCGCCTATAGTGCTTCTCCATAAGGTAGGCATCGCCCTTACGTCTGTACATGATTAGCCTTTTGCACGTGCGCGATACTCGTAAAGTCGTTAGGAGCCAATCGCGGACTTCTCAGATGTCTCGTAAGCAAGGCATTGCGGACTTTCCTCGAACATGGCTTTTGGGAAATACTCTCCTGCGCGCGGGTCGCCCTCTCTCTTGCACAAAGAGCACGGACTTCAAGATCGGGACAACCAGGAGTCCATCATAGGGACCCCTGGCTTCGTTTGTCGCCGAGATCCTCCCGGCCCAGAATGATTAGGGAGGGCATACGAAAGCTTGCATCTTGTTTTCTTTTCACAACTATTTGGTATCACGAGGCAAGAATATGGCTTCACGATTTGTTAAGATACTGCTTTTGCTTCAGTAGGCACTTCTACGGTGAGTCGGGCTCATACCGCGATAAGACAAGCTGACAATCGATTTAGGTACATGCAGCATCGTAAGTACTGCTGGCAAAATAATCCTTTAGCAGCCACACCAATCAGATCAAGTACTAGAGGTATGTCGCAAACTCAATCACTGTAAATCCGCAAATAAGCTTCAAAGAATTTGGGAGTTTATGCCACGCACAACGCCTAAAGTCCGCTACCACGGAGAGCTTTCGATACGCTTATGTCTCCGAACAAATTATCCTAAGTCTCCGAGCGGCCTGGAGTTCGGCCGACCGTGTGGGGCTAATGCGACCGGCGATAAAAAAAAAAAGGAACATCACGTCTAGATAGAAAGTTTAGCGGAGATGAATGAGATATTCGCTGGCATCGCACAAGAGAGCGAAAGAAGTTTTCCGGTTCATACATCAAGGGTAGGGCAGGACGATTTCGTCTCAGTCTATACCATCATTCTCGACAGATAAGATCGATGATTTCTTTTTCTTGACATTACTACTTGTCATGAGAAATGACAACCTGCATTGGGCATATGGAATGGGCTATAGGTGACTTGAACAAACTAGTCTAGAACGAGGTAAAGAGAGCAGTCGATTTACTGAATGAGTGCAAGACCCACGTGTAGAAACACGTGGCAGAATGCTTGATAGGCGCTGATACTATTCCCGGTTCGTGGCACTACTCTGTATACAGTGATTTCCTCCTTATTGGAGCCTGTTTGTGACTCGAGCATCAAAGCCCGCAAACCCGCTGAATCACTGGCTAAAACCATGTAGAAAGAGCAATTTCCAGAAATTTTGTGCTCGGTACTCAAACTTTTCGCTAAAGCAGCATCCTGTTTACCTCCGTAGGGATGAAGCAGTCTAGCACGGTACACGGCATTTCTAGTATCCGTGTTAGGCATAAAGATCATCACTTTAGTTTACGCCCTTATTTGACAACGAATGAGATTACCAAGGCCGCGAGAGAGGCCGCAGGTATGATAATACAGTTTAATAAGAAACAAGGTCAATATAACTTTCGAGGCCTAGACCAACTTTCGAACTCTCATACACCATCCAGGGAGGAGCGTGCTAAAAAGCAGCAAGAATATCCCACTGATGTTGTGTGGAAGGAAAGTTCAGCTGACTCAATCACTGTAGCTATTGACCTGGCGAAGACATTTAAAGGCCAGCATTCACCTGCAAAAACGGAAACGGTTCGTATCGCTACAACCTGGTTTTGTATCTCATCACAACAGACCTATTTCATTATAGAACCCTCAAGACCTTCTATTTAAAGATCTTTCAACTCCAAAGCCGAGCATCACAATGCGTTTATCAGCCATCTTCCTCGTTGCAGCTCAAGCTGCCACCATCGTTGCACAAGCTTCATGCTTTTGCGAATGCAACCGAACCCCCGATGCCTCTGGCTGCGCCGCACTCCCGCGACCAGCTAGTGGAAACTGCGCCGAGGTGTGCAACCCGCATGGAAGATGCCCGAACTGGGTTACATGTGGCTGAAGTTAGGTTGTGAGCCATGACAGTAAGCTTTTCCTCCATTCTCGCTTTTGAGCCATGATGTCCAAGCTGCTCGGATGCGCTATTTTTATTGGGACCTAACAAGAAACTAGAACGTCGCCCAGCTAGCAATTGTTGGCTGTAGCACTATCTGTTTGAGTTTGAGTTTGATTTGATCAAATTCTACTTGGCTTGGGCTGCTTTACTTAGCGCGATGCTTGGAGGATGGTGGGATTTGGCGGATAGCTGTAGCACTCTAAGGTAGTTACCAATCCGTAGTGCCCTACTTTGCCGACGCAAAACAATGACTAGCTGTCTGGAAGATCCCCACGCTTGACCTCTACATCGTCTACCACTAGCGGCAGCCAAGTTACCGTGACAGTTCACAGTACTTATGATCTCCTCTTTATACTTAGCTTTATCTGACTTGCGATTCGATTGTACGTCTTCCAAGGATTCTGATCTAATTTATAAATCCGATTACTGTAGTATCGTTGTCATGCTCATTTATACTCATTTATTATGAGGTTGAGATTATATGGTTCTGACAAGGCTTTAGGATGCTAGCATTAGAGCTATGAAGACTTGGCATTCTTGTAGCAAGATATGTTTCGACATTGTTTATCGATTTGATCCAAAACTGGGTAAGATACTCTGACTATTCCGTAGTACGAAGACGGGCCGAGTATTAATGTTGAACCCGAAAGGGTGAACAAGAGCCGATAGTCACGACTCGGGGCGTTTAGTGTTAGCGATTATCTCAATAACGATGTTACGTTCAGTTGAGTACTCTCAGGCTGCGGCCACTTTCTCTACACCGAGTGTCATGACTACGTGGCGATTGTCAGGTTCTCTCGTTCTTTTGACGCGGTAGGTCTGTTATGAAGTCGACAGCGATGCCCTACCATCTTACTGTGAGAAATTCAAGGGCTTGCAATAGACCATGATGTGGAAGTCTGGAGACTTTCATCGCGCAAGATTGGCTCATCCTCGGCCAGAAACAGCTTTTTTAGAGGATTTCATATCTTTGCTCTTTTGGGGTGACCTGCCGCAGGATAATCATAGTAAGAACGCAGCAGCCGGAGGCGCAGTTTAATGTTGTACAGGACGAAAAGCCGGTCCTTAACAAATGCCCGGCCCTCTCGTTCTGACAAGCTGGTAACGGGTACCTTCAGTTCCGATAAATCTGGCGGTAACCGTTTCCCGTCTTCATTGTCAAGTTTTCCGTAACTTCGTAGTAGAAAGCTTGTTCCCCACCTGCTTCCAGGCGAGATTGGGCAAATATGAAAAGGCCCACGCACCTGAGAACGGTCTTGTTATGCTATCGCAGGACTTACCACGCATGACCTAGCACGGGCCTATAGTAGATGGGCAAGATATGTGTGATACACCCCGTTGTTAGACCCATAATGGTCTGTCGTTTAGGTAAACTTTAAGCTAAATTTCCAACTCCAGGTCATGAGCAAGTCAAGATTCGTATTAAACCCTGTAAGTAGGAAGCTCTGTAAAGTCTCTCATATTAAGCGAAGGCAATACCTAAGTAGGTAGCAGGCTTCTTCTAACAGACCGGGGACCTGGTCTGCCGATCTCTGAGCATGCAATCTTATTCACGGTGTCTTTCCTATTGAATTTTCGTAAGGAAAGTAATTAGGAAGAGAACCAGAATCGCAATGGAAATTTGAGAAGACCTTTAAAGAACAGTAAGTCTCCAACTCCGTCAGGCCATAGGGATCATATTGCTAACATAAGGTAGTCTATTCAAGCGTAATATTTAGTTTTGGAAAAATTTGAGACCCTCACCACATATTCAACCTTATTTCCTTCGACACTCACAACTTTTCTACACCTCAGGTGGTAGTTATAAGCCTCAAAAATGTTGTGCTCAAAGGCCCTCGCTGTTCTGGGTTTATATGCCACGATTGCGTCGGCAGCGTCTTGCCGGACACAGAGCTACCGAGGCACTGTGTACAAGGAAGGCTCGGCTTCTGAGTGTACTGCATTGGCGAATGCTGTCTGTCAGGCTGGCCAGAGTCAGGAAAAGCTGCGATACAGTTACGATGGGGATAATTACAATGAGGGTAACGGATGCGCAATCGCAGTAGGTGCCCACAGAGCCCCAAATACCTAAGACCATTCTGACGAAGCTTTAGGTTACATGCTGCACAAGGTAGCGCAGCCTTTCGCTGTCCCCAAAAAACAGTTGTTTGATGCTCCACGAAGAGCGAGACCTACGCAACTAAGCTATTGACTATTATGACCAACTTTGAGTTGACATCGAGCGATCTCTTGAGGGTTGTAGGCAGCAAAAGACATAGAGGCGTCAAAGTCCATAAAGAGTATGAGCAATATAGACACAGTTCAGAAGGATGAATATGATGCGAATGAAGGTGGTACAGGCAGAAAAAGCAATCCTAGTCATGTCGGCCGCACGTCGCGGCGGCCCGCTGTACAAATGTAGTCCTCTCGCCCTGAGGCACATCTAAAGTTTTACGTGCATGTGCTCTAAGTTTGGTTCAACCCAAGTGACGGGGAATGCCCGACTCCCTCGCCTTTCTCGGCAGGCTTGTCACCCCTGTGTTGATGCGATGGGTCCTCTCATGTATAGAACAAGTTTCGAAAACTTCCACCCCGGATTCGCCTCACATCAGCCCTCGCGTACAGGGGCTTGGAACTGATATAGGGCTAAAGTTACCTTGAATGAGATATTCACCACATACCTACATTTTGCTTGCCTATACCGCCATTTGTTTACCTGCTTCCAGGAAAGACACTTGCTCAGTCGGACTCAAGAGCTAGACTGCGTCATCGTCTTACCTTCGGTGGTACCTTCGTCTTTCGCTGGCAAAAAGTACTAAGGCAATGCATGACGCACGTTCTGTCTTTTTGGATTGAAGCATAGATTCTTAGATATTCAAGACACGGTCGATGAATTTTTAAGAGTGATAAACCCGAGCGTTCATCTTAGATTTTGGGTGGACTACCGAAGGCATCTTCCCGGTTCACATTGCCATCATTTGAGACAAAGTCAACGTACTGACGAAAGCACGCAGAAGATTCACCGGGAATTTTCAGACGGCAGCACACGTCAACTTGCATGACAGGCGTAGTCCGCGTAAATGTAGTTCAGGGTAGGTAGTTCAGGAAATCGGATGACACGATGCTGGGCCTATCCCTCGTCTCAGCATCTTTCTCGTTGGCATGACAGTACATATCGGTACTGGCTTGCCGAATGACCACCCTGGACATTGGATGAAACCTATGTAACATGCTGCCATACAAAACTCAATTTCCCAACTCAAGGCTACTCCAGACTGGATCTATTATCCTGGATTCGCAAAACCTCATTCCGAGCTCTTGTCAAAGATATCCCGCAAGACAATTATCCGCAATCTTCAAAAATTTCTCAGTTTCTTTTTCCATAACGAACCGAATATTAAAGCTTAAAACCATGAACCTAGCATGGCTCCGCCCAAGCCTGACACACCCCGTGAATCAAGACCCGAGTTCCATTAAGCTTGGTTTTGAAGCCGAGTTTCGCAGGGTATCCGCGGGTGGGCCTGCTCTGTGAATGGGCTTACTACCCCGTATTATCCAGAACGGAGTACTCCTTTCGGAGTAAGCGATACTACCTGGCAAAACAGCTGAGGACTTCAGCCAAGATGTTTAGGAGCTGAGACTTTTGCAGATCATAGCCGAGCTGATGATCAATAGGATCAACTCAAGTACTATAAATGTAGATAGGAGTTGCTCACTTCATAGTTTTTGTCTCAATTCAAACCATCACAACTCAACCGCATTTGTCGTGTGCTTCTTACCTACTTAGATCTTATAATTCCCAATTCAAATCTGCTGCGCAAAAATCTTCGATTACACAATTTCCATTCACACCACTTCGACAATGCGTTTCTCAGCCATCATCTTCACCCTCTTCTCCGCCGGCGTCCTCGCTCAAAATGGGTAAGTCCAGGCTGATCATGTTGTTCCTCTTGAGATGAATTCTCTTGCTAATCAAGTATTCGAATTGAAGATGCGGCTTCCCGGATGGACCTGATTGCCAATCCCTCGGCAAGGGCGCCAATGGACTGGAGCAATTCGCAGACCCCGATGGCTGCTGCTTGCTACCCCTCCGTTGTGGCAATGGCGATGGCGGCGAGAGATGCGAGCGTGTAAGCGGTGCTAGTGCTGGCGGCGCGACGAACGGCAACACTGGCAATACTGGTAACACTGGCACTGGGAGGAACGGAAGGAACAGAAACAACAACAACAACGCCAACAAGAAGAGGCGCATTTAGGTCCCATAATAAATTGTTTACATGGATGTTATACATGCGATGATATACGAAAGTTGCCCACTGATACTTGGTGAATCAAAACATAGAATCAGGGAGATGCTGAGCAATATCAAAGTTCCTCATGGCCTTCTTGCGATGGTACTGAGTGTGCAAATGATCAAATATCATGATGAGATCTAAAAGTCCGAACAATCAAATCGGGCTTGGCAGTAGAATAGAGGTTGAACTTGAAGAAAGAGAGGTGGATACGAACCTTTAGGAAGGCGCCTTGGCCTTTGGGGGGGGGGGGTGTCCAGCTGTGTTCTAGAAAATTCTGAGACAAAAGGGATACAGGGCGTGAGAAGGAGAAGAAAGCCTTGGTCCAGATCGCATTGATAGTCTTAGACTTTCTGACTTTGACTGCCCTTCGAGGCAGTGTATGGGCGGCTGCCTTCAATCCATGACTTGAAGACAAGCTCATAGTTGGCATTCCCTTCCTCATCGAGTTTTAGTTCAAACAGTCAATCAACTAGGAAACGCATGGCACTTAAGCTCAATCAAGCTCCTTACTATCATAGCTGCCCTTATCAGTGTCTCTCTATTTGTCATTGTATATATGTTCTTTGGAGAATGTATCAGACGATCTAGCGATAGAGGTCATTCAAAGTAGCAAAAATAGTGACAGCGATGGCCTGGTGGAAGCAAAAATGAGGAAGAAAAAGGCGGCAGCCTGTAGGGAAGGAGCGAGAATAAACGAAGTAAGGGTGGTGCCTTCCAAGGCAAACATTTCCGTGCCCTCTTTTCACCTCCCTCCCAACGCTCGCAGATTTTTCATCCCACCCACCAACCCGTTTAACTTACCTGCCTCCTACCACCCATCTGAGGATCCGGCTCACCTTCTGTTCTCACCTCCCCCACCTTTGGGCCTCATCTCGCAACAGGCCTCACCTCAGAAGAGTCGGTCTAAAGTACTTTCCCAGCTTCACTCCCTCTTCTTTACACATGATGAACGTCGCTTCGATGGACCTCGCTTCGATGGACCTTGCTTCGATGGACCTCGCTTCGATGGATGATGCTTCCATCTCGCGTTTTCTCCGAAGCCACCTGTGGGGACCGATACCTGGTAGCATATCCGGCCCTAACCCGGTGGCCGTGGCTATGAAGCCCGTATTCTCTCGAATGCTGGAGAAATACTTGAGTCGGACAGACTCCCAAGGGTACATCCCACCAATCCAGATACTACTGCACTTGATAGATGACTGAGACTGAACAGAAATCCCGACCCCGCCAACCTAGCCGCCATACCCGTGATGCAAGCATTGCAGGAAGCTTTCTTGAGCCGAGAAGGGCGCTGGTAAATATCACGCCGATTTTCATGGACGTACTTGAAAGATTACTGACATCAAAATAGCAAGCCCTCCATGCTAGATCTCGATCAACTCCATCGAAGATTGACGACGTACCCAGCTCATCTCCCGGACAGCGACTACCTCAAAGACCTCGACCAGAAGATCGTCTTGGTGCAACAAATCAATCAGCTGTGTAGAAATTTTCATACGGATGTCTCGATGAAGGAGCTCCACTTAGACAAGGCTTCGTTCTGGTCTACGTTGATGACCATGGACTTGGAGAGATTGAAGGAAGTTCGATGCGACCTGGATGATATGACCAGCGCTAAAGCTAAGAGGCTTCTACTTACCGATTTTCCGGTATGGGCCATGGCAACGCCAATGCTTCTCCGTTCTTGTAAGGTACGCCCCAATCCGCTGCAATCTAGTCTACTAATCCTTTGCTCAGTTATACGAGGGTATGCGAAAGAGCCTTCCAGGAAGTATTCTCCGGCCAAGCCGCTGAGGAACACGTCCGAAATCAAACATGTGAGTCTCAGATGCCCCTCAACAGGTATTGGTGAAAGTAGAGAGGCAGAATTGACAACCTTCACACATAAGGTTCTCCGACACAACAGCAACCGCTGCATCATCACAAAGCTACGAGCCGACGTCTATAATGTGATACATATCATTCCACCTGATCTATTGAGATCGAGAGCCCAGCTAATCAAGTCACTGAAGGGGATGAGATCCTGGTATACAGATGAACGCATTGATGCGCTTCTGAAGAAGCTTACGTCGGAGTCTTGCCACGAAAACATCATCAACACTCGTCGTAACATGATCTGCATGCACCTCCAAATGGGCACGCTCTGGTACATGGGAGAGTTTATGCTGAAACCGATGGGTCGCCCAGTTCAGGTGGTTATTCCAGTTCCGGCAGAAGATCCGACTGAAGAACCTCAAATGAAGACCGTATGGGTCTTGACGTTGATCTTCCATTGGCTTCGGAAGACGGAGTTCCCAGACATGCAGCAAACCATACCTTTCGACACTGATCCCCGCCAGCACTTCGAGGACCTTGATCCCCATGACTTAGGAGCCGTAGATTACAGCACTGCTCATTCTATGGTCGGCGGAGATATCGTCCGGATCTTCGCCTACGATGAGAAGGACTTGCCTGACTGTGACCTTTTGGATCTGCGGGCGAACCTGTATACGGCATTCTCGCTAGCTGCTGCTGTGGACCCGAGAGCCTACAAGTTTGAAGGCGATGGCGACGATGAAGGCTACAACCCAGAAGACGACTTTGATCAGGAAATAGCTACTACAGCTCGCATGCGGATGCAGATGAAGAGGGACGAATCATCGTCGAACCCACGCCGCCGCAACACACCTTCGGCGGCTGCCGACATACCGTCCCATGTTCACCAAGATTCGAAACAAGTTGAGGATGCAGCGGTGAGCCTCAATGAAGATGCAAGAGAGGATACGGCCAAGAGCGACAAGATGGTTGACGAGATTCAATCCTCTACTGCCGAGAAGGAGGAGCAGGCCGAATCTTCGCCCCGTAAGCCGAGCATCATCGACACTCTCAACAAGATACGGCACAGAATGGGTGATGTCTTACGAACATTCCAGAAAGTCCTCCTGCGTCGACGAGAGGAGCGGGCGGACAAGAGTGGTTCAAAGTGACCGCTCATCGTACAAAAATTGTTCTATTGGTCCCCTGCGCCAGCATACTGGACTCCGTTCTCTACTTTTATTGTTAAGGCAAATCACAATTTGATTTCTCATTACACGGCTTTTAATTCTTCTGCTCTAGGTACAATTCGTACTCATAACTGGAAAAGAGGAAGGGAGCAACACCCTTGAGGTCGTTCTCGAACAGAGGCATGCTGGCATAGTACTAGAAAGAAGGATCAGAATTGAGGGCCAATCAATGTATTCATAGCACGGAATGATACTTTCACATACCTCAAACGTGCCGTTGGAGCTCAAGCTGCCCGTCTGCACAGTCCATCCCCAGACGAGAGCATTATCGCTCTTGCGCGTCTCGGAGAAAGTGTCCGTCATCAACTTGTAACCGCTAAGTGCAGACCTGAGATAGCTGTCGCCTTGTATATAGCCCAGGCGAAGACTCTTGAGAAGTCCATACACAAACATGGCGGAACCAGAGCTCTCAATGTAATTTCCCCACTGGCCCTCAGTACCAGGCGTCATGACGAGCCACCACCCCTTCGTCTTCTCATCCTGCGCAGCCACAACGGCGTCCGAGACGTGCTGCAGATACCCAACCAGACGCTCGCGGGCCGGATGGTCCAGGGGGAAAAGCTCAAGAGTGTCGACGAGAGCCATGACGTACCACCCAACAGCGCGTCCCCATACGTTAGGCGAGGCGCCCGTCTCCGGGTCAGCCCAGATGGCCTTCTTACTCCAGTCAAAGCCGTGAAGCGGCAGGCCGTTTGTCGCGTTACCCAGGATCGTACCCGCGGTGACGAGGTCGAACTGCAGCGCGATATCGTCCCACGCGGTGGTGTTATCCGGCTCGAACTCGGCGGTCCAGCGGGCGTAGAAGACGTCTAGCATGTAGATGCCGTCGAGCCACATCTGGTCTATGTAGACGGGATAGCGATGGTAGAAGCCGCCGTCCGGGGAGCGGCCTGTGCGGTCGATTTGGTGACGAAGGGTCTGCGCGGCGGTTTTGTAGATTTCGTCCCCGGTGGCGTTGTAGATGTCGAGGAAGGTGTGACCGAAGCGGATATCGTCGATGGAGTTGCTGTTGTTGTAGAGGAGGATCTCGCCGTCTTGGGAAGGGTAGAGGAGGATGTCTGTGGCGTGCTTGACGTAGTCGTAGTATCGCTGGTCGCCGGTCCGCTCGTAGGCGCGCAAGACACCGGAGTAGAAAGCTGAGATCGTGTAGGCGTAGGTTGGCTCTACGCCGTGCTTGATTTGGGAGTCGGCCATCCATGTTAGGTACCGGGGTTCGCCGTCGAGTTTGCCGGGGTTCAGCTTCTCGTCGGGGGCGATGGCGAACCAGCCGTTGGGGAGGGAGATTGCTGCGGAGGACAGGGGGGCGCTGGCGAGCGCGGCGGCTGTGAATGAGGTGATCTTCATGTTGACTTGTACTTGACTGCTGCTCGGCTAGATATTTGAGACTATCGACGAGTCAACAACTTGGAGGATGAAGATCGAGCGGACGAGGGTAGTATACCATCATGGCATCCCCCAAGGTTGACTATTTATACAAAAGCCTGCCTCCCAATGGAAGCACCACCGAGCTCAAGAGATCTCGTAAAGCTCTGCCATCTTCAAGGTTCCCCTCGCCCTAACTCCGTCCAAGATCGGCCAAGAGCTGGCCAATTTGACTGAGTCGTCTTGGTTCCATTCCATCTGCAGCTTTACTTATCCGATGCGTGAATGTGAACATAGAGTAAGAGCTCGGGATGGGGAAGCCACTCTTGGCATATGATCGCCTATGGAAAGCAAGGCATGATGTCAAGTCGCACACCACATAAGGTGGTTGGTTCGAGGCTCTGGAGCTTGACGGAAAAGCAGATCTGTCTAACACTGCGGGGCCAAGGACCAAGGTACTCAATTCGCTTTGAAGTTTGTGGGGATGATCGGGAGAAGAGACCGGCCGAAGCGGGGAAGCTCAGTAGTCCGCTCTTATGCTTATTTTCACTCCAGGGAAACCCCGTATAAGTCATGGCCTAGGTAAGGTAGCTGGGGACGAACTGAGGTCACTGGCAATTTTGGACAATGTGCAGTTTCCATAGATCCAGAGCAAGATGCTTAGTCTCTGAATAATCTCCGACCTGTACCTGTTCGCAAACTCTTCTACGCTGGTGCATTACCGAGCCTTCCTCACATCACTCTGGGTGCCGGAACGATGTAGCCAGCCGGGAATATGTCGAACATTTCCTGTCGGTTCCTTCCCAGTTGTTCAGGCTGCATGCAGGATGTCGTTTTCTCTCTGGGAACTCGGCATTCATGTTCTCCAAATTGCCGATAAGTTTATACACCAATCAGAAGGAAGACTGGTGATGTAGCTAGCCTGGTAAGATACAGAACGATTTGATTCCTTCGGCGATCGTTAAGCCGGCTGGCCTGCCCCCAATGCTTGGCGTTTCCTCCATTGTGAGAAGGCGGTGACCCGGACTCATATTGAATCTACCATGCAGCATCAGCATCGCCATTTTGCCAAGCCCAAACACAGGGTGACTTATCCGTTCACAAGCCAAGCACTTTTCCGCACATTCGGAAGGGCGCGATGATCTTTCCTTCCTCTTGTCTTTCTGTAATAAATCGAGTTTTTCTTCTTAATCTGCTAAAGACAGCCGACAAGCCGACATTTTGGTGTGATCTGCAGGGAGTGACTGTTAATATTCGAATTGCATATAATTTATGATAAATAGCTATCTTGCAACTTACCACGCGTGATACCTCCTGCTCATTATTACCCGAGAGATACCTAGTAAGAAGTCACATAAATCATGTGCATAATCGAAGTGCCTTGGAGAAAAGCCTCAGCAGAAACTGATCATCACCCTAATCTTATTTTTCAATGTTTCCCTCATTATGACTTATTAAGTTCATGCGGCAATTCTCATCAAGCCCGCCGGACCCTAACCCGTCGTCTCCCTCGGGGCCTATCAAGTGCGATGATGAGGTCAGTCTATCATGCGTACCTTAGGGCAACAAGTAGGTGTCGTAATAACTTGTCGGCGAATATTAATGGCCCTTCGTACTCTATCACTGTTGTTATTCTTAATGTTTCTTCACAGTGCTATCATGTCCCAAGCACAATTCGCTACCCGCAACTAACAGCGTCGTTCCTGCGAGACATGCATAGCCTCGAGAGAATATTAAAGAACGAACACGAAAAGAGAAAGAAGAAGAAAAAGAAAATAGGTAGTGATGGTGATAGTGATAGAGATAGAGGTAGTGAGGATTTGTTGAGCAGTGTATTATCCCGTCATCCATCTAGAAAGATGGGGTCACTCGCCTCATCATCGTGACCGCGCAAGTTGGCGTGTCTGGATACCCGGGCGTTGACTCAAAGCCGCTAAATCTTGACTCAATCGTGGTTCAGCGGGTCCTTCTACCCGTCCGATCCAGCGCCGGTGCGAGCGGGACGCCCCATACGAATTCCAACGAAGATTACCGAGAACGGGCAAATCTCAAGCTACGGGATGGGGGTGGGATAAGGGTCCGTTCACCACAAACTTTCTAAAAAGCCTCATTTTCCAACCTCAGAGAACTCCACCTCACCAATCACGTCAATTATCTTCAACTTCACTCATTCCTCTCTCAACTTTCAACATCCAACCAACGCGAAGCTCAACAACGCTGCTCTAGACACCAGCAGACCACCACCCCATACGAGGTGTACACTTTGACTTACCCAGAGACGAGATCATCAAACTAAACCAACAGGCATCATCTCTCACCTCAACACATAATGGCGGACTCACGAACAATCCACCAACCAATCCACCCCTCCGTCCGCTCCAAACTCGACCCGGAGTACGTCGCCCTCCACGACTCCATCATTCAGTACATGGAGCCCTCCGAGGCCAAGCCCTGGGACCCGGCCTCGCGGTCCGCGCCGAACCCGCTCGCGCACACCACGCAGAAGCTCTCGCCCGTCGGCAAGCAGTGGGACGAGGATATCCCCGGCGAGGAGATCCAGGTGCGCGTCTTCGTCCCCGAGGGAAATCAGCCTGAAGGCGGCTGGCCGTGCTTGGTCTGGCTTCACGGCGGCGGGTGGGTGAATGGTGGGTTGGATAGCGAGAATGGGTTCTTGACGCATGTTTGTAAATGTTAGTCATCTCTTTCTCCCCTATTTCCCTCTCCGTATGAGATCTTCATAAAGAGATGAAGGTTTTGGAAAACATGACGCAATGAGTGTTGATAGAGTATCAAAATAGATGTAAAGTGCGTTGTCGTCACGATTAACTACCGCCACGCCCCGGAACACGTCTACCCAGCCGCCGTAGACGACTGCCTCACAGGCCTGAAATGGCTCTACGACCCCTCCAACGCCTCCCGTCTAGGCATCAACACATCCCTCGTCACAATCGGCGGCCTCTCAGCGTTCGTTACCCCTTCCCCCTCCATCCCATCATCCACAAACCATGTGCAACAACACTGACACCCGCCCCAGAGGCGGCAACCTCGCCGCAATCCTAACAATGAACCTCACTCTCTCCCCCACCCCCATCTCCCCGCCCCCCGTCTCCCAACTCCTAATCTGCCCCGTAATCGACTCAACCGCAACCCCCTCAACAGGCTGGTCCGCAACCCGCCACGTCCCCTGGCTAACGCCCACCCGCATGGGCTGGTACCAAGACCTCTACTTTTCCCGCGGCGAGCAGGACAAGAAGGAGTGGCGGGCGTCCCCGTGCTTCGCGCCGCGCGAGCTGTTGGCCAAGAGTCCCAGGACGTGGCTCGCTGTCGCGGGGGTGGACTTGTTGACGACGGAGGGGTTGGCGTATGCTCAGCTGTTGAGGGAGAACGGGGTCGAGGTTGAGAGCGCGGTGTATGAGGGGGCGACGCATTCTGTGCTTGTGCTTGCTGGGTATGTTTTCTTTTCGACAAGTTTGGTTTTTTTTTTACTTTGGGTTGATTTGCTCGCTGCTTGCTTGGGCGAGGGCTGATATGCTGACTTCTTTATCTTCTAGTGTGCACCAGATTAGCAGGAAACTCGTCCATGACGCGTGTGCTGTCTTGGCAAAGGGCTTCGGGACCTCGTACGATCCTGCGGCGGCTCCTATTCTTTCCCAAGAGGAGTAGATTATGTCCCGAAAGGGTAACAGGGGAAGAACCGAACGGAACGGCTGGTACTTGAGATGATTCATCAGCCGTGAAGATGTTGTCCTAGACTCGTAGATGGCGGGTTCCTAAAGCATTAAAACGGGAAGATGGAGACAAGCACAAAAAGGTAGCAATGAAGAAGCATAAAAGTGGCACTTGTCTTTTTATATCGTAATTACAAACCATGTAACCGTCAATTACTTGAGAAAAACCGTGAACGATCTCTCGTCAGGTCTGAAAATACATAGTTGACGTTGAAGACGACCTAGTCTATTTTCCTAGAAAGCGTCTTTGTATATTATGCTTGTGGATGAAGAGAAAAGGGGATGGAGACCGCCTCGAGCAGTCAATGTTCTAGAACATACCCATCAAGACGCCGTAAGAAGTTTCTGCAACTCGGCAAAACGCACCGGCTTGGGCAAAAACACATCAAACCCAGACGTCTCAGCATCCCTCCTCGCATCCGCGCTCGCCAGCCCCGTCAGCGCCACCACCGTCGTGGCCTGCAACCTATGCTCCCTCTCGTACTCGCGTATTCTCTTTGTCGCCTCGAACCCGTTCATGATCGGCATGCTGATATCCATCAAGACAAAATCGAACCTTCGCCGCTTACTCGCGCTCGCCTCAATGGACGAGCTCGACGCCTGGATGAAGCGATCGAGCGCCTCCTGCCCGTTCTCGGCCTGCTCGTACGTGAAGCCGCACTTCTTCATAAACATGACGAGGAGCTTGAGGTTGATCTGGTTGTCGTCTACCAGGAGAACGTGCAGCGTCACGTTCTTCTGTCCCACGAGGACGGGCTGGCCGCCGTTGAGAGCCGGGGAGAGGGCCATTGCGCCCAGGGGCTTGATGAGGGGTTGCACGCCCATGGCGGGCTCGAGTTGCTCCGGTTTGGCTTGCTGGTGGAGCGGGGTGCCAACTCGTTCGACTTGGCGGATTTCGTTGGTGCCGGGGGTGGTGCCGTCGGGGGCGAGCGGTATCGGGGCCAGCAGCCCGGATGAGTTGCGTGCCGTTGCTTGGGTCCTCTCCAGCTCCTCTACCCGCTTGAGGCAGTGGCTAAATACTTTGGCAAGTTTTCGTGGGCCGCATCTACAATTATTACTTAGCCTTCTAGTGCAGATGCGAAGAATTTCACCATCAGATTTGTCTACTTACGGTTGCGGTATCACCTCGACGATTTCTGAAAAGTCCAATAAGAGCTTGCTGTGGTCCTGGAGAATGTTGACTGCTTCTTCTGCCGTCGGGCACACAATGATAAAGGGTGCCTTTTTCTGACTCGACGATCTCCGCGAATTCTCTTTGAAACGTTTCTCTAGTACCTCTACCGAGGGAGGCTCAGAGTAGAGGTACATGTCGGCATCCGGCGGCTCGCTGGGGTTTTCCTTAACAACCTTCATCTTGAACCACTCAGAGCACGTCTCCGTGAGAATCTGGTTTAGCTTCGCGGCGTATTTCGTCATGGGTGGTGCGTCAGGAGTACGCTCCTCCTCAAGGAGGACAATCTTCATCCCCCTTGTTTCGTCGACGGCGCTGCGCATCGCCTCATCCGGTTCACGGGGGTCCTCCGTTTCGTCGGATGCCGATGTAAAGCTGAGGTGTACGTCGAACTCGGTGCCTCTGTCTTGCTCGGACCTGACTTCGAGGCTTCCCCGCAACGAGTCAACAATCTGCTTGACGATGCTGAGACCCAACCCAGTGCCGGGCTGGAACGAATCCTCCTGGCTGAAGGGGAGGAACAGTCGGGTTTGCTGGAACTCCTCAGACATGCCCTTGCCAGAGTCCGCCACACGTATCATGGCGTCAATCTTTGCTCCCTCAGACCTCGTCTGGCCGGTCAAAGAAACCAGAACGTAGCCCTGTGTCGTGTACTTCAGGGCGTTCCCGAACAAGTTCATGATAATCCGCCGGAGGGCACCTGGCTGCGCTTTGACCAGCCATGGTATCTTCGGGTCGACGTCTAGCAATATTGACACAGGACCCTTGGCCCCCGGCGCTTGGAAATTGCCTACTGACCTCACATTATTCGTCTCCTTGACACTAATGCTGGGCTTGGGTCCATCCAGGGAGCCCGCACCGACGAGCTTCTTGAAGGCGTGGCCCGCGGCAATGGCGTCGACCACTTCTTCCACGAGAACAGCGAGATCCACAACGGAGGACATGCTCAAGCTTTCGAGCGAGTCCGACGTGATGGCCGCCGGCCTATTCTGGTTCTGCTTAGCGCGCCGTCTCATCTGCGCCCGGCCGAGCCTGTTGATCTTGCTGTAGTCGAGAACATGGTTGAGCGTGTCAAGCAGTGTCTTTCCACAGGTGGCGATGGAGCTGATGAGACCCGATTGATACGCGTCTGTGCTGGTATCTTGCAGAAGCTCGGCGGATCCGAGGATGCCATGGAGGGGACTGCGGAGTTCGTGGCTCATGCTCGCGATAAAGGTCGTCTTGGCCGCCTCGTTCTTTTGGCTGTTGATGCGGCCAACTTGGGTCATGATACTGTTGCTGAAGGCTCGGAGGTACGAGAGGTCCTGGTCGAGATTCATCATGCGGCCGGTGACGGAGGTCCAGAGGAAACACCCGCCGGCTAACCTGTCCTCGCCGTAGTCGAACAGTGGTACAAAGACCACTGTCTTGGCTCCGGGTATTTTTTTGAGGAGCTCTTCGTGAACCATTTTGACCTTTCGCCGTCTGCCTTCGGATTTGTCAGGCGGCGCTGCCCCGTCGACGCCCATCGTCTCCCTATCACTAGCACTGTCGTCGCCAGATGACACCCCAAGCCCGGCTTCGGTGAAGGAAAAGGTCTTGCCCATGGGGAACATGGAAAAGTACTTTTCAAGAATGCCGAGTGAAAGCGCCGGGCCCTGCTCGATGCGCGCGCGCGCACGCTCATCAGCCACGGAGAAGCTCAAAATCTTGCAGGGCCTAGCGGACGGCGAGGTGTCAGAGTCGGAGCTATCCAGCCCAGAGCCTGATGTGGCGGGTCGTGTGACATCCTCCTCGTCCGACGACTGATTCCTGCCCGACCTTGATTGGCTTCCGGGAGTAGAACTCGTTGCCGTGGCTCCAAAGAAGGCTACGCCGTCAGCCAGCGTCGAGTGACGAAGAACGTCCGCTGCGCGGTTGAAGAGTTTCGACAGGCCGTCGACCCTCGGTTGGTATGCCTTCTTGGGCGATGGCGGGTTCTCGGTGCTGGGTCCCTGAGGTTCCGTAGTATCGCTTTGCTGACGAGACGCTGATGACTCTCGAGACCGGACGAGTGCTTCGGCGTTGCGAAAGTACGAATTCGATCTGGGCATCGGCCGTCGCGCCGAGATGAGCGGCATATCCGGCGGCCGTACCGTCGAGGGGCTCCTCGGTATGTCGTCCTTGACGGGATTTGAATCTTCGTTCATGGTAGAACATCCCTCGATAAACGTCGCCAGTCCTCGCACTATCCGCTCGCCCTTGAACCTGTCCACGCGATCCCGCGCCCACTCCAAATGTTCCATAACCGTTTGCGCGACGCCTTGCATGAACCGAATCTCCTCCGCCGTTAGTCCATCGTGAGGTCGTTCGTCGGAGACGGCAAAGGAGCCAATCTTGTGGCCGCTGCGTGAGATGATGGGCACGCCAGCGTAGAAGCGTACGCCGGGTTCCGAGAGCACATATGGGCGCTGCGCGAATCGAGGGTCGAGGCGGCAGTCATTGACGATGAGTCCGGTTGCCGTATACGGGCGGCCCTTGGGGTCTAAACCTGTGCAAGTGTTCACCATTGAGTGTTCGCAAACGGCATCAGGGCGAGATAGAATGGTGGCACCGACTATGGAAATCACAAACGTCAGCATAGTACCTCCCAAAACGAACCGTCCCCTTCTTCCCGTACGTCTGAGCCCGACAATGCACACTGAAAATAAGATTCGAGCATGAGGCCAACATTTGTAAAGAAGACTATCAACATGCTGCGACGTCGGATAGCTCCAGGGGCGAACCGCGACCGCAGCCGCGGCCGGGACTGAGTGATGTGATATCCCGAATAGAGAGGCCTACGTACGCCACAGTTCATTATCAACATTCGTCTCATCGGCGTCGTTCAAACCACTACTGTTTGAATCCTGCAGGTGCTCAAAGTCTCCAAGTTGAACGCTACGGGTACCCTCGGCAAGAATGGTCTGGGTGGTGGTATCGATCAGCGAGACCATGGCACGCTTGACGTCGAGCTTCAGCACGGCGAGCTGAGCAAAGGCGGTGAGGGTCTTGTCGGCCGAGGCCTTTGGCTTGTAGCCGTTGCCATGTAAGTCTGGGGCGGCGATGCTATCGACATTGAGGGCGACGTTGAAGGAGGAACCTTGGGCGACCTGCCAGCTCTGGAGATATCGCTGGACCTCCCGCTCGCGTTGGGCCTCGGACATTTGATTGCGGGAAAGAAAATACACACACGCGGATGCGCGCACAGCAGCAGCAGCACACCGCACAGGGGTGGCGGGTGCGGTTCTCTGCGGGGGCGTGTGTGAGAGGTGAGCCGGGTTTGGCGAGGGAGTTAGAAGGAAAGCGAGTGAGAATTGAGAGTAAGAATGAGGATGACAATGAGCGTCAGTGGGCAGTGGGTGTGAGACTGAGAGTGAGAGGAGCGTAGCCGTGCTTCGATGTCGAGGGGTCGCAAGCAGGGGGGAGCGGCGGTGTTGGCGGCTTTCGTGCCTAGGCCTGCCTCTCTATGTCTCTCTCCTCAGAATTGTTCTGCGTCTTGTTTTTTCCCTCTCCTTCTTCCGAGGCTTTGTTGCTTAGGTTGGTTTTTTTTTCCTGTCCACAGGGGACTTTCGGAGTGACAGTCCGGCGGGGAGCGACAACACTACGCTTGTGGACTTCGCGTGGCCACGGGGTGCATTTGGAGAAGCATGGAAGGAATGCGGAAAGACGGGCAAGTGCGAAGTGTCACCTAAACCATTCCGGGCGTTGCGCTTTTCCTATTTCTTCGACTTTCTCTCTGTTGGCGGCGGCGGCGTTGACGGCAG